TAAGGGTTTTGTCTATTTCTTCTTTCTTTACCTCCAATTGACTGGCCATCTCTTTGAAAGATTTGTTCATTTCCTCCTTATGAGCCTCAAATAATTGAGCAAGCATGGCTTTAAGGTCATTTTCCTGTGCTTCTGATGAATTGGAATATCCATCGATTTTGGGGTTTGCTGGTGAAGTCATGATGTCCTGATTTATGTTGGAAATGTTCTTTCGCCTACCCCTGGCCATTGGCTTATCTGAGACCTTCCCTGTTTGTTTTTGGATTCAGCCGATCAGACTGGTACTGTCTCTCTCTCGAGTCTGGAGAATTCTTCAGGAAGTTGAGAGAGGTCCCGTGTCCTTAGCGTATGCTGAGGACTAGCTGTACCTGTGGGAGGAAAGTACGCAGGCGCAAACAGAGGCAAATGCAAGCGTGCGTGCGTGTGTGTGTATATGTGTGTGTGTGTGTGTGTGTAAGTGGGTGTGGGCATGTGTCTCGAGGGACAGAGTGATGGCTAATGTTGAACCCTTGAGTGTGTGGGAGGGGCTCTGCAATGTATATGTCGCAGGCGCTAGTGATGATCGCAGCGCAATTTCTGGCATTAACTGCCTTAACTCCTCAATTAGACCCACAGAGCAGGAACTTCAATGTTCCAAGTGCCCCTCTGTTTCCCAAAGTGGGTATATGGGTGGGAGGGGGTTCGATGCCTGGCTTCTGTTTTAGAATGACCCAGGATCAGTGGAGCTGCAGATTCTCAAGGGTGCACTCACTTACAGGCAGGTCACTTGGCAGAGATCAGGGTATCTGGGCTCTCTGCTCTCTGGTTTGGCCCTGCTTCTTTGATGTGCTCCGCCAGTTCCGTGCTGTTGTCACTGCCAGGTTATGAGGTCTTGCTGCAGCTGGAGATTTCAGGGTGGTCACGTCAGTAGGAATCGGGGTAACCAGCCTTTCTGTTCTCTGGTTTGGCCCTGGTTAGTCTTAAACTTGGGGGCTGATGTGCCCCGCCAGCTCAGTGCTGCTCTGCCGCCAGGTTAGAAAGTCCCGCTGTAACTGGAGACTGGGTTGCTAGTCCAGATGCTTTCTGGGAAGTCCTGGGGTCTCTTCACTGTGCTCTCCTAGCTTCGGAGGCCCAGCGCCTGGTGTGTCTAGCTTGTATGGCGTTTCTGTCTGGTTTTGGTGAGTATATAGCGTATTCTCTGTCACTGTGAGATTGGGCGGGCCGTACCGTCAGTGATGGCGCTCCTGCGGAGCTAGTATGGCGTCTAGCAGACCTGGGCCCTGGGAGGATGGTGCAGCTGCCGTGCGAATCTGGGGCTCCAAGACACAGTACTGCTGGCCTTTGCCGATAAAGGGCTTGGGGCTCCTCCTCAGTGGCTGCAGGCCCCAGGCAGTTAGGTCTGTGCTGAGAAAGGCGAGTCTGCTGTGCCAAGGAGGAGGGAGGTCTGGGGGAGGGGAGTGCCGAGAGATCAAAGGATTGTTTCTCACCTTCCCCAAACAAGTCCCTGGGTGACCTGAGACCAAGGTTTTCACCTCCTGTGATGTTCCCTGTTGTTTAGAAAGTCTCTCCATTGTTTCCCTGGCTTCAGAAGTTCTTCCACTCATCAACTCAGAACTTTATCTCTTCCACAGCTTGGAAACTGTTTGTGCTACTCGCCATCTTGGCTCCGCCCCCAACGCAGCTTTATTCTTAATAGCCAGAAGCGGGAAACAACCTAAATGTCCCTCAACGAAGGAATGGATACAGAATATACATTTGTAAATGTGGAACATTTACACAATGGAATACTACTCAGCTATTAAAAACCAGGAAATCATGAAATCTGCAGGCAAATGGTGGGAAGTAGAAAAGATATTATTGAGTGAAGTAACCCAGAAGCAGAAAGACACATATAGCATATACTCACTCATAAGTTTATATTAGCCACATAATATAGGATAAACATACTAAAATCCATACTCCTAAAGAAGCTAAACAACAAGGAAGTCCCTAGGGAAGATGCTCCATCTTCATTCAGAAGGACAAACGTGGTAGACATTGGAAGCAGGAGAAGACAATGAACTGGACAGGAGCCTACCACAAATGGGCTCTGAAAGACAACAGATAGAGATAGCAAAGGAGAGGCTGAGGCTCATAGCCAAACTTTGGGCACAGTGCAGGGAAACTTATGAAAGAAGGGGAAGATAGAAAGTCCTGGATATATATTGAAAGTAGAAGTCACCAAAATGTCAATGACAAGTTTTAGCAGAACAAAAACTATAATCCTAAAATATTAATGAACCACACAGGATTCCGGATAGACAAAGAATCCTAAGCAATAAGACCAAAAGTGGAATCCCTACCACACTTGTCTATAATAACATTGTCATCACAGTACTGAATAAAAATGGATAGGCAGACCAACAAGATAGGATATAGAATCAAGAAATGAATCTATTTAGAGCAACAGAATATGCGATATTCTTTCCCCATTTCCCTCTTCCAATTCCGCTTTGTCCAGCTAAGGTGATTTGAATGAGAGTGTCTCTCACCGGCTCAAATATTTGAGTACTTAGTTGCTAGTAGGTAGAACTCTTTGGGTAGGTTTAGGAGACCTAGCCATGCTGGAGGAATTGTGTCACTATGGAGTGTGGCTTTGAGATTCCAATAGCCTCTTAAATCATTCTTAGTGAACTCTCTGCCTCGTGCTTCTGTCCCTGCTGTCAGGCCTTTGCTCTATCATTTTGACTCTAACCCTCTGAAACCGTAAGCCCAAATAAACTCTTCTCCAAGTTGCCTTGGTCATGATGTTTTACAGTAGCAATTAGACTAGTAACTAAGACACTCCCCAATATACTCCTTTTCCAGCTTCATTTTGTTTTAAAGATCACACTAAGTCCAGTTAAAGCTGCCTAGATGTGCAAGAGTATAGGGCCATTTACTGGAACATGGAACACACACATAGTATCATGCCCTCACAAAACAACAACAAAATTGTTGTCTCTTAACAACTATGAACTGCCAACTACCCACTGTAAGGGATGAAGCCTAAAGATCATGTATTGAAACTATGTCAGAATTTTGGCTGGATTTTTTTTCCTTTTTTATTGTTTAAGAAATTAATACATAGATATAAAGGTATTTGATCAAATCCATCACTAATCCTCTCCCCTAAAATTCATCCCTTCTCCTCACTACCACATTTCCTTACCAATTTCCATGGTTTTTCATTAATTTTTTTTAATTTTATTTTTTATTATCAGTTACATTTTATTAACTCTGTATCTCAGCCATGCCCCGATCCCTCATTCCCTCCCAGTCCCTCCCTCCCTCCCTCATCTCCACCGTGCCCCTTGCCAAGTCCACTAATAGGGGGGACCTCCTCCCCATTCATCTGATCCTGTTTTATCAGGTATCTTCAGGACTGGCTGCAAAGCCCTTCTCTGTGGCCTAACAGGACTGCTCCTCCCTTGGGGGGTGGGGAGGCCAAAGAGCCAGTCATTGAGCTCCTGTTAGAAATAGTCCTTGTTCCCCTCACTATGGGAAACCAATTGGTTACTGAGCTACCACAGGCTACATCTGAGCAGAGGTTCTAGGTTACATTCATACATGGTCCTTGGTTGCATGTCAGTCTCAGAAAAGACCCTGTGCCCAGATATCTTTGGTCCTTGTGGAGCTCCTATCCTTTCCTCATCAGACTAACTCCCCTTCTTTCTTATGATTCCCTGTACTCTGCCAAAGGTTTGGTCATGAGTCTTTGCTTTGAAGACACTGCTAGTTAGAGTCTTTCAAATGCGCTCAGTAGACTCCTGGCATATATTCAATGCGCATCCCATCTGTCTTTCTAAACGAGGATTGATAATCTTACCCCAAATTATTATTATTTATTACAATTTATTACTTGGTACCTTTGCTGTAGCCCTCTCCCTCATCTCCTCTTGGTCCCTCCATCCCTTCTTCCCTTCCCCCCCCCCCTCCCCCTCCCCTCCCCCCCCCCATATGTCCCTTCCCAAGTCCACTAATAGGACAGGTCCTCCTCCCCTACTATCTGACCCTAGCTTATCAGGTCTCAACAGACTGGCTGCATCATCTTTCTCTATGGCCTAGTAAGGCCACATAATCAGGAGGAGGTGATCAAAGAGCAGGCAATGGAGATGCCATTGAAGATATTTGGGCTAAGAGTGTGTGGATTGATATGGCTGTGATCTTAAGAAATTAATATGTATTTGGAATTGCATTCAAAGAAACAACTGCAGTGCTTCTCCTCCAAAATATTTTAGTAACACAGAATCGCAACAGAGGTGTGCTGAATGTTTAGTAATATAAGATACTTTTATGTGTACAAGAAAACAGTGATACATAACACTTTGTTTCTTTTTCTTCCTTTGATTACAGCAAATGCAAATGACTTTAGAAGGAAGTGATCTTTACATAACTTGTTTCAGTTTCATTGTAGTACAGCTTTGGTTTTCTTGTGAATATCCTTGTTAACACAGTCTGGCAGGCACTTAATAGCAAACTGTATCCTGGGCAATGAATTTATAATGTAGCAGGAACAATCTGGTGAACATTGTAAGTCCTTATAGATGATGAAAAAATCAATAGCATGGATAAATTTGAACCAAATTACTATATGAAATTTTAGGTGAAGAGAAACTTAGTACTTTGGGCTTAAAATTAATTACTCATAGAGAAAATTGCCCAGAACATGAGTGAAATAATGTAAAGTATAATTCACTGATTAGTATAAAATAAATTATATAATAATTATATGTTACATTTTTATTGTTATAGTACATATAATTCAACCTTTTATTTGATAACTTATAATACATACTTTAATTAGATAAAGAAATGGCTTCTGTATGGTAAACTATGCTAAAAGTATATATTTTATACCTATTTTATGTAGTAAATGTAGTAAATATAAGTATAATTCAGTTGCATGAAAATAGCAAATTTTATAGAATCTTAATGCAATTTTTTAAATCAGAGATGAGTCATTGAACTGTAGTAATAACACTGAATTTTATTTCTTCCAGGGTGACTATAGTTTCTATACAGGACAGATTATGACAGCTTCTTCCTTAAGGTAAGGTAGCATGACACAGTTATAATCTGAGGGCCTATGTATACATTCTAAATGTTAAGTAAAATTTGTTGGTAGTAGCTATGTTCTGCTGTGCTTAGGCATATAATAAAGAGTTCTGTGTTCACAATCCATTTGTTCAACTGTACTGCATTCCCAATAATTATGAGGATGTTTTTAAGGCAGCTACTGTATTGAATACATATAGCTTTATGCTTTAATTAAAAAAGAAATATGTTAATCATTAAAATAGAGTAATGGGATAAAAGTAAAATAGTGACAGACATAAAATAAAATGAAACTAATATAAAGTGAGCTGTTTCCTAGTGAGCCTTTCAAAGACATATATTAATATATTAAATTTTGCTAAGAATTAAAACACATTGCACTGTTGATTTTATAAACCTCTAAACTCTTTAGTTAATTTCATCGGTAGTTATGTTCCATCTGCTTTATTATTCAGAATTGGCTATCAATACCCAATAGACTGGCAAGATTAGAAATACAAGGTTTTTTGTTTATAAAGATGCTAACACTTGAAGCTTCATGTTTTTTAGATAAGTTTAAATAGAAATATTTTTATTTTGGATCAAGTTCAATAGCTAACCTCTGATTACTCTTCATTTCAAACTAATTTATTACTTCTACACATTTTCAATCTTTTCCTTCCATAATTCTGTTATGCTTCTATGATTTTATTCCCTTCCCTAAAGCTTGGCCTTTTTTAGCACATTAATCTCAGCAAACTATTAAGCCTTGTCAACAGAGAAAATGAGTATGAACTTTGAATGAGTAATTTGAAGAAAAAGAAGTAATTTGTGTTTCTCTTTTAATATTTTACACACCTCAAATACTATGAATTAATGATTTTAATAACGTGTAATTATTATTATAATTTGCTCATCTTCAAAAACAATATATCCTATTTAATTTATATTCATTAGTAAAATAACAATAGGGTACTTGGAACTGAAGCATAGGTAGACCTTGGATAGGAAAGTTTTTTCTTGTATTCCTGTGTTGTAGTGATTAAAATGAGAAATGTCCCCCATGAGCTCACGTATTTCAACACTTGGTCCCTAGAAGAAGAGCTCTTTGGGAAGAATGGAGAGCCTTTAGTATGTGGAATGTTGTTGCAGAAAATGCATCATTAGAGATTGTCTGTGAGGGTTCCTAAACTCATTCCACTCTGTTATCTTCCTCTTCTTTCTGTGTGTGAATGAAGTGATCTGTTTGCTCTCTGCTCCTGCTACCATGCCTTTTTGACATCCGTGATGGATTCTATCCCTCTGGAACAGTAATATAAAATAAATCCTTTATCCTAAAAGTGTTTTCTATTAGGATATTTCATCATAGCAACAAAAATTTACCAACACACTCATGTTCACTAGGTACATACTAAAACAGATGTTCTTGTCACATTATGGTCTAAATATTTAAAAATTTATGTGCTATCATTTTCCATGGTTTAATCCAGTGTTGAAGACTGGTCTGATGTGTGTTACTAGCCCTCCAGATTGGTTACACCTATCATTGCATAAGACCTACCTGATTGGTTGATTAAACAGCCTACACCTGGGCAAGGCAGAATAGGGTAGGCATGGCTAAGGTTTTGTGCTTTTGGGTGTAAGAGAGACTCATGGGACTCAGACAGACTAGAAAAAGAAGGAGGACACCATGATTGGTTAGCCTGGAGAAGAAACCACGTGGGGATGGGAGGAAGGACTCCAATAATGGCAGAGAAAGGCAGAGATGAAGAATAAAAGCAAGTATTTATAAGATTATGGATGAAAGATAGGAAGATGTCATTGGATGGGGGCTTGGAGATAGATGGTAAGGTGGTTCAGACCACAGAGGTAGGACTATCTTCCTGGCCCAAAGTAAATAAGGTAATTTTAAAATTAATTTTTATTTTCATTAATTACAGTTTATTCACTTTGTATGCCCTCTGTAGCTCCCTCCTTCCTCCCCTCTCAATCTCACCCTCCCTCTCTCTTTCCCACCCATCTAACAGGATTTGTGTCTTATTATTTGTGATAGCGGGTTAAAATATATCAATATACTGCCGTGATAATCTTAGGGCCAATAACAATAAACATTATAGAGTGTAACACTCTATTTTTTATTTACAACAGCAATACAGCCTTATGCTAATTAATAAAATATCATTTTCATGGTTCTATATTTTTCTATAAATGACTTCTTTAATAAACTGTCCACTTTTACCTTAAAATGCTGCTTTTACACATTAGGTGTTTTTTTAATGTAATGGAAAAATGTTAAAACATAAACTTCCAAATGGAAAATTTTGAACTCATAAGTACTGAGTTCATTTTCATATCCTATTTTGTTTTGCATTTATATTATTTCCCAACAGTGCTTAGAAACTAATACAATATGATTCTTTCCAAATAAATGAAATAAATATGGTACATCTTTTCTCTTATTATATCATACAGTAAAGATCTGTCATTCCATTCAATGCTTCTTGTCTTTCTACTACTCCAACTATCCAAATCTCAGTCAAGAAGGTAATAGCAAAAGCATCCAACAAAGGAAACTGGTTGAATAAATTGGGTTGGGTTCCCAGCTTGATTAATTTCTCATAAGTGATAGGCATATCAATATTCAATATCAGCCCAAGAAAGTCTTAGTTTTTCATAAACCTGTTATTACAATACTGACAAACGTCAAGTTAAAATTGCATGCATTTTGGGCTAAACACATTACATTGTATGAGTAATTTAATCTTCCAAAGTGCATTATTAGTACAACCACAACAATCTTCTTTCAGCTTTCAACTTTATATCTTGAACAAATTCTCTTTAAGTTCTCAGTTTATATGTTTCTGTTTCACAGAAACCATTGCTTTGCATAAAGCCAAGTTAGCTCATGAGCTGGATAAATAAATATTACTCTGTGTTTTATTAAGTGTGCTGGAAGGAAAATAATCCAAATTTTTAATTATAACCTCCCCTATCAGTGGACTTGGAAAGGGGCAGGGAGGAGACCAGGGAGGGAGTATGGGGTTGGGGAGGGAATGAGGGAGCGGGATACAGCTGGGACACAGAGTTAACAAAATGTAACTAGAAAGAAAAAAATAATTAAAAAATAATAAAAAAATAAAATAATTAATTTGAAAATGATAAGACATTGCTCAAAAATTAGGAACACGCAGTGGATGGCTTTACATTTCCAGACTTTGAACTTTCCTTCAAGGTCTGCCACAGAAGTCAGTTTACAAGAGACAAACAAACCTCTGTGAGAACATTTTATTATATCAGAAAGAAACAAGCTGCCAAATGTAAAACACCATAGTTTTCAGGATGCTCACATTTTTAAGAAATGTACTTTTAAATTGTGTATTTGTGTGAATGAGTACATGATGATGTGTGCAAAGAAGACATTTATTAAGGCACACATGATAAGACAGATAGCAATTTTATGAGGTCAGTTCTTTCTTACCACCTTGATGTGACATCCAGAGGATTAGATTTAAAAAAAAAAATACCAGAATGTATCAAATAGTGAAAATAAATGAAAGTGTAAAATTGATGAAAAGTTTGTTATATTTTCATTTGTTACATATAGTAAAAATACTATTTGTGCTGAAGATACGTGATCATCTAGATGTGGCAAAATCATACTATGTTCATGGAAACAAAGGATATGCATCAAAAATTTACTTTCAAGGTAGGGAGATGACTCAGCTTATTAATTATGAGGGCATGGGTTTAGTCATCAGAATCAACATTTTAAAAATCAGGCATAGAGGTATGTCCTTATAATTCCAGTGGGGGTGAAATGGAGACTGGGGGTCACTGAGGATGACTTACTTGTTAGCCATCCTTGTCTACTGGTGAACTGCAGGTTAGTGAGTGGACCCTGTCTCAAAAACACAAGGTACACGGTACCTGAAGAACCTAGAATGTTCTTTGGCCCCCAGTGTATAAATTCACAACTACAAACACAAAATACAGCAACATGAACACAAACAGAAATATACAATTTATTTTCATCAAAGTGAAATACATAGTTTGAACACATTTCATCCTTATAAGTAGACTGTTTTCTAAATCATCAAAATAAACAACTGGGTACCAGATTAAGTAATCATTATAGAAATGTATCATATATGATAGTTAAGTGTTACAGTTCTGACATTTGTGTTCTTTCCTCAATCAGAGAGTAATCTTTTATAGTCTGTACTATATAACTCTCTACCTCAAAAAGGATCATACTGTTAAAAACATGGAACATTAAATTTTTTTTACAGATTTCATTCCATTTAATGTCTGTATCAGTGTTGCATAATTAACTACAGAACTATAGGTATAATGAGTAATGAGTGAAATGAACAAAACGCCAAGAAATGTAAACATGAAAAATTGTCAGAAGTCAGAATCTCCCCCTACAGGTTGAAGCAGTTCTTAATTAGAGCCAACCAGTTATTACAATGTGTTAGTGAGCTTTGACTACGCATTCTAATAAATAAATAGGCAGTGTAAGCTCATCTACTCCAGAGTGAGAAGAAGCAGGGAGAACAATGTGCACAGGTGTGTGCAGGCAATTCTGTGCTGTTTCATTTTGTGCACCTCACTGTGACCCTGAGAATTAAACAGATGTGAACCTGCTTTTCTCAGTTATCATTACCCTTGGAGTGAACTTATTACTACACGGAATGTGACTGTGCTGTTTGCAATGAATGCATTTCGTGCACGTTACCGAAATGAAGCTGATTCTATCTGGCACTGAAGAGAAAAGGCACAATTGTGTATATGGTAATAATAATCACTGACCACTACAAATTCAATTTCAGGCACAGTATCAATTTTTGATTCTACATGAAGATGTTATACTCCTCTATTGGAGTAGACATATTTTTTTGTTTTGTTTTGGTGACTGGCTTTAATGGCTATATGAAAGATGATAATCTTATACCCTAAGGATAATTTTGCATAAAGTTTGGAGGGCTTTAGCCAGGCTCAGTCCCCTCTTTATCA